ATGCCACTTTTAGGCTCAGACAAAAAACAACAACAAATAATTGGTTTTCCAGATCAAATACTGTGATCTAGGATTCTACTGTAGTATATCGATTTTTGAAGAATCTGTAAAATGTTCAGCTACAGAGCTGCAGTGAAGTTACAAACAACCATGCCATCTAGACAGGATTTAATGTGTAAGTCATGATTTCCGATGCAATCAAGCTTAGTGATAAAATGCTATTTTAAATAAAACTACAACATTTGCATCATAAATGTTGGCGGAAGTAAAGAATGGCTCCTGAACACGGTCGTCTTTTTAAGGCTTTTGCTTCATGTTTGAGGTCATGGTAGTTAATCTGGAAAACCCTAGAGATGGTATAGGGAAAGTATTTATAAAACAAGACCATGACCACCGTCCACCTGCATGGATTTCATAGTGTTGCATCTATAATTGCGGATGAACTGTGATTTCAAAATCCAACAATGTAAACTACTTAATGTAAACTAATTTACACTAGCTGAGCAAAGACAACAAATAATCTATAGAAATCTGTTGCAAAAGTTGGAACATCATGACAAATTACAATCCTACCATCACTGCTGATAAAAAATCCTCAAGGAGAAAAAGAATTACCAATCCATCATTAGCACTTCCTAAAGGATTATGTGTCTCTTAAAAAAGCTGCATGCTTTTTCTCTGTTGAACTTAGTCACAAGTATTTTTTTTATCTGGCCACTAGATGGTAGCAGATAAAAAATAAAGAGAAAGTAATTGCTACTAAAATAACTTCTTTACAAAATAGTATTTTTTTCTTCTATTCCCATTTGAGTTGCATTGTTCAAAGCTGTTCTTCTCTTAGTTAAGTAATCCTCACATGCTGACCCAGGAGGAAAAGGGCTTTGAACTGAATTACTTAATGTTAGTATAAGATCTATTGCATTTCTGTAATGTTTTAAAATTAGGATTAAGTTAAACTATATTACTTAAATGATTGGAATGTGTTGGAATAAGATGGGTTATATTTGGACTAAGTTGGATCTTTGATAATTTGATGTAAATTAACTTCTTTGTCTTCATGGGTGATTCTAGACAGGGGCCACTGGTATGGCCCCTCTACTAAAGACCAAATCTGTTTTACATGATGATATGCTTTGGCATAGAAACTGTAACTGATTGGTCATTTGGACAAATTTAGTCTTTATTTGCTGGATCAGGGTCTTAAGAGCCATGAGCTGCTTTTTGTTCACTTTACATATAATGAGGAACTGTAACCCTGACTTTGTGTTTTATTATTTTGTTCTGTGCCCCCCATGAAAAGCACCAAACCTGGCTCTCTGGACCAAACCTGAACCTGGTGAAATTAGGCTAGAACTAGAACTAACTAGAGACTGAAGTGGGTTTAAATCTGCTCCGCATCCCCAGAAATCATGTAGAAGGAGAATACACATACGGTTCTTATGCTCCAATTTTTTTAAACAAGCTTCCAGTAGATGGAGGGGAAATGCAGAAGAACTGAGTTTAAGTTTTATTTAAATTGATCTTGATCTTATTGATATTTTTAGATGTTTGTTGTTGTTCCTCATTTTCCTTGTGTTACGATTTTGACTTTAGTGTTCACTTTAGTGCTGCTGTTATATACGTTTGCCTGTTTCCTTTCCATGTGAAAGACTTTAAATATTATAATTATTTCAATAAACTTGCCTAGCAAAAGGAAAAATGTTAAAATGACTCCTTCTTAAGTAATAGAGACAGGCTGGACCAGAAAAAGGGACCAAAGTGCTGAATACTTCAACACCACCCCCCACAGAAAAAAATTAAATGAATAAAAACTTTTGCAGATCAACACAACAATCAAACTATTATGATTCCCTCAGTTTAGATCTTAGTTTCTTAGTCCAGTTTGGCCATCAGCAGGCTTCCAAGAGGCTACCAGCATAAAAAATCCTCCAGTTTGAGAAAAAGATGCATAAATCTGCTGTAAGAAATTTCCAACATTAGAGGTGTAGAAATTGTAGGAAAAATAAAATAAAATTCTGAATACATAGTCATTATATAACAGGAGGATATTAGCGACACATAAGGTAAACTAAAGCAGTTCTATAACCAAGCATTCCTTCATATAACCCTTGCTTTTGTGAGATAAGCATTGAGAAATAAATATATAATATTCAGAGAGCCTGTGGATTTAAATATATGTGGCAGGCTATAATATGTAAAATCAATAATTTCCTTCATCCTGCAGCATTTATGACCTACAATCATTGACAATAAATCTCTTAAACATTTATTTGGTTCATTAAAGTGTACAGGTATGTATTCAGAAAAATTTACCCCAAAAAAATCAGATGTCACTTAAGGGGTAGTGCCGCTTTCCCATCTTGCTATCTCTCCAACATTAGCAACCGTAGTTTAATGACTCTGGATGTCTGGATTCAGGTATAATAGAATTTGGTTGTTTTATTTGGTAGCCAGTGGAAAATCCACTATTTACCACATATAATTAAAAAATAAAGTTACAGCTAAAATAAATAAAATAGACCAGAAGTCTTGGGAAGGAGTTTGAGGATATTTAACACTAATAACATTTTGTTTTTAATGTCTTCTACTCTAATGACTTTCCTCCTTTAGGCTGACAAGGATCCTTCCATGCTGAAGAAATCTTGAAGCTTGAATGAGGGTAAATATAAGTTTCCTACAGACATTAGGCGGAAACATTTCAGATCCTTATTTTGGCTTTCATAACTCAAAAAACACACAAATAGCCGGTTTAAAATCTGCTAAAATCCCTGAAAATAACCTGTGACCAGAACAGTGAATCAGTGCAACAAAAAGCATACATGTGAAACCAGGTATTTAGATACATATATGAAAAAAGAAATTAAAAAAGTTCCCTCTTGGATGAAATCATATTACATTTCCCTTTGTCAGTCAGCTAACACTAGTACTATGACGTTGAGAAACTAGAAAAAAAAAATTTATATCTTGTTTTCATTACATTCTTCAAATTTAGTAGCTTAGATCCTTTTTCTTTCCATTTGGTAGAATTGCTTGATAAACTGGGTGGCTTATGTAACATATTTTGAGCAAGCCTTATGCAACAGATTGCTGAAACATTATCCTGTTCATCACAGACAGACCTATTGAGACTCAGTCACGTTTGTAGGTTGACTTGTTGAGTCACATTTAGCTCAACCAAACATTTTTTGTGAAGATATTGAGACCAGGGGCTATTTCTAAACTGTGACTTTCTTCTACTTAAAGGAATAGTACACCCAAAACATGATTAGCCTTCATTTTCTACTCACCCCCATGCTGAACAACACTCTGGAGTACTTTTTTGATATCTCAAATGCATCTGGAGATCTGGGAGGCTTCTTGCTGTCTGCTGACATTCAAATAATGGAGGTCTATGGTGACCGAGACAGAAAGGTCCATAAAAGTCCACAAAAAACGTGTCAATATTCCTCCATACTGCTCTTCCAATGTATTCCAAGTGTCCTGAGTGGGTAGCATCCAGAATTTATTTGAAACGAAGTCATTTAGAATGTTTTTAGAGCATAAACAGTAGTGTATAGGATTTCCTGAAAGCGCGAGCCTGCGCGCTCACGACGCTACGGAAGCCGGCAGACCAAACCAGCGCATTCAGCTCGGCAAAGAACTCATGCTCTTCCTCAACACTGAAGTCCTCAGACATTTTTCTTTCGTTGTTTCTTTCTTTGCACAGGTAAACAGCACATTTCTTCTTCTACGCTTGCATTATTGGCAGAGCAGACGCTGAATGCGCACTTTCATCTGGCTTGGTCTGCCGGCTTCCGTAGCGTCGTGAGCGTGCATGTGCGTGCTTTCAGGAAATCCTATACACTACTGTTTATGCTCTAAAAACATTCTAAATGACTTCGTTTCGAGTAAATTCTGGATGCTACCCACTCAGGACACTTGGAATACATTGGACGAGCAGTATGAAGGAATATTGACACGTTTTTTGTGGACTTTTATGGACCTTTCTGTCTCGGGCCCCATAGACCTCCATTATTTGAATGTCAGCAGACAGCAAGAAGCCTCCCAGATCTCCAGATGCATTTGAGATATCAAAAAAGTACTCCAGAGTGTTGTTCAGCATGGGGGTGAGTAGAAAATGAAGGCTAATCATGTTTTGGGTGTACTATTCCTTTAAGACTCTTTGCAACTGTCCATACAAAAACTCATTTGCACCCAAGGTTTTTCAGTCCTTGGATGATCCCAGAGGTTTTGTCGTCTGGGGCTTAAATATCTTTTTTTGTTCTTATAAGGCAAACATGTTCTGGTTGAAGGATCAGGCATAGAGTGGCTCTACAGCCTTAATGAGAAATCAAACTTTCATTGTTGGCCGGTGGAGTAGAGCTTGGACCTTACCCTGGGGGTTCATCAGCAAGCAGGGTCAGGTTATTCCTTATGGGACCCGGCCGGGTGCAAGGAACAAGTGGTGAGGCCACCCCCTAGTGGCCCCACCACTGGCAGAGGGCAACCATGACAGACCGTGGTGAGGGTCTGCTTAGACCAGGGCGCAAAGAGGATGCAGTAGACTAAGGCAAAGGCCTGGTCCCCAGACACTAAACTGACCCAGTGGACATGAAATTGTATTCTAACTGGAATCAGAACCTGGGTTTGTGCAATAGGTTGAGCAATTCTGACTAGAAATATTCAGGCTCACCACAAGGGACAGCCTGGGCTCTGGAGCCAAATTCTTCTACTCTGGAGAGGCCTGCAGGAAAAGGTATCCCAATAGTCTTTTAAACTTTTATTAGTGTTTGGTTTGCTGTTTTTACAACACATGCTGCTGCATGACTGCACCATGCGCAGTGCAGTAGAGTGTCTGCTGTTTTAAAGAAGAATGTAAAAAGAGCATCTGTGCCATCTAGTGGTAAAAAGCAATATCACACATTTAAGACATACCTGTTCAGTGCATCCTCATTTGCTGTGGTCGTTTTCCTGAACAACAAACACTAATACTATCACAAATCAAAAGCAGAGCAACTCACTTTGATCAAGATTTTAATTATGCATTTATTTAAACGTACAAAAATATCCAGTTTAACAGAATGGACAAATAAATTAAACGATTAAATGATAGCAGAATTCAGCAAGTATTCCTCAACCATGAAACAACACAAGTAAATGTGATATTTTTGTGGATATTTTTTTCTATCAAAAGGATGGATGACAGACCTGAATATTAGTCCCAAACCTTAGAGAGACTAAGAGCAAAACCAAACAATACTGCTTGAACAAATGTATTTTATTGCAAGGCTTTGAAAGATTGCATCTAATTATGAGGCCACTTTCTGGGATTCCTCCACAGAAATAATTTGTTCCCAGAGTTAAAGATTGTCATGCAAGGTTGTATTAGATATGAAAAAAAAGTCTGAAAAATGCTGAGCTGAAATACCAGAGTGAAACTTCACAGTCAAGTAACCTTAGAAAGATTTGATGTGCAAAGTATTTAATCCGAATGCAAAAGGCACTTAGTCAAATTAGAATGAGAGGACTTATTCCCACAATTAATGCTGGGATCAGAAATTGGACTTTAAAGGAAAAGAGCTTTGCATCATAAATGTGGGTGCAGGTAAAAAATGGCTCCTAAATCCTCCAGTCGTTTTAAGGCTTTGGCTTCAATATTAACATCATGGTAAGAATTCTGCAACGCACACAGAAAATCGCATTAGTTCAGAGAGACAGAGAGAGAGGGGCACAGAAGACCTTTAAAAAACCTTGACAATCGCCCACCTTCATGGATTTCATAGTGTCGTATCCATAGTAGTGGATGGGCTGTCGCACATTCTGTGAAGTGGGATACCCAAAACCAGCGATGTGAACAATGTCACAGTAGTTGAGTGCAACAAAGACAGCAAGGATGCCCGTGGTGGGGTGCACAGAAATCTGTAGCAAAGGGGGGAGGGAGGGAAAGACATAGCTGATGAAAAACAGTCACTGAAAAAGATCCTACATGTTTGTATGATTTTTTTTTTTTTATATATATATACGTGATTCTAAGAAGCAGTATTCAGGAAAGAAGATTTTTTTTTTCTTTTTTAAAAACATCTTCAGCAAAGGTCAAATTGCCTTAAAAGCCTTCCTTCTCATGTGTCTTTATTTCAAGCATGATTTGAGTATTTACTCCTACAGACCACTAGATGGTAGCAGAGAGACGTCAAGACTTATTGCTTTTGTAGTAGGCTACATTTTCTTTTTTTTCATGTTTATCAGCAACAGCTTTTAAATGCAAAAATGTTGTTTATTATGTATCAGTAGCTGAACAGTCTAACTGATTCTAGTTCAGATTATACACATTACCACATGCAGAACTTAACACATGACTGTCACACATTACAACACAGAAACAACATGCTTATTAAACCACCCAGTTGGGTGTTTTCTGCTTAACTGCTGGGAGGATTTTGGACAGAATGCTGACTGTTTCAACATAGCAGGATGTGTTTACTCTACTTAAAAATAAATGATTCAATATGCAAACCAAAGACCGGTCTAAAGAAATTCACTTTCTGGTAGAAACAACTGAGGCTGAAGCTTAACCTCATTAAATGTTTTATAGTGGTAATTTAGACAAACATAAAGGTTAACAACCCTTAAATTTTTCACATAGCTAACGAAATGTCAGTGAGTTTTTGCAACATTTTATCTGACAAAGCAGAAGAGAGGAGAGCTAAACTGTGAAGTAGAAGGAAAAAGATGAATAAGTTATTATATATGTTATGTATGTCATTGGTTAATTTAATAAAATCTAGGGCAACAGACAGCCTTCAGTTTAACTGTGTAGTTTAAAAAGACAAATTCAGTTGCACTATTGGAAGTATTATCAAGAACAAGCAGCATAGAAGAGAGTTGAAAGAGAAAGATGTGGAGGAGGTTAAGGCAGGGTTAAGTTATAAAAAAATAAAGGAAACTTTCCAATATTTACAAATCTCCTAAAACACTTTTCAGTTTAATCATCTGAGAATGGAGAAAGCGTGGCACAACTGCAAAATCCATAAAAGCATAACCTAAAATGACCAACCGGACAAGGAGAGCATTAAATAGAGATCCACAGATCGGGGATCAACTGTCAAACTGGAAAAAAAAAAACTAGTGCTGTCAATCGATTAATCGCATCAATGCCTGAGTTAACTCGCGATTAATCGCATTTTAATCGCACATTTTTTTTCCTGATTGAAAATCATTTAAATACTCTCGATGACATACAAAAAAATACATACAGGCTAGGTTTGTGCCAATGTTCTTTTTTTTAAATGAAAACAGGTCACAGATACTGATTTATGCCATAGAAACATATGGCAAGAAGATGGGGAGGCATGTAGCAAAAAATAACAAATATGTAGCCAAAAAAAAAGGCCCTGAAAACAGGCTGATGTAAAAGACAGTCTTTACAGTTAATACAGTCTTTTGAACAAAGACAAGCATTTTACCCTACTGCTATAAAATTTAGTAGAGTTAACATTAGATGTTAATTAACCAAGATAATAATGAACAATTTTCAATCAATACATCAAAATCAATAGACCGACATCACTAGATGAAGGTAGTCTATGCTCTAGAAAGTTACTTTTCAGCCTCTTAACAAAAATGAGAACACACACACACCCACTCACCCACACACAGACACACCCACCCACACACACACACGATACCGACAAGAGTGCCGTAGCAGATTCCATTTCACCTCAGTAATCTGTTTTCTCAGCGTATTTCAGGTTGCTACTAGTTACCAGACACTCAACTTGTTTGTTGGTGGTGGGGCTTAAAGAAAAGGCACTAGCGTCACCCAGTGTATCAGCGTCTTTTTTCCTTGAGGAGCTCCGCTCTTGAAGCCTATGAGAAATGCATAGACTGGGGGAAAATAGCCCCGCCTTCCCGCAGGCTGCAGCGGGATGTACTTGGAAAATTGTACCATAAAACCACATAGCGTTAATCTCACGTTAAAAAAATTATCGCCGTTAAAATGGCCTCGCGTTAACGCGTTAATAACGCGATAATTTTGACAGCACTAAAAAAAACACTACACATCTAAGTGAACACACCATCTACACTAAGAAATATGCTGGCGTTCAGACAGAAATGGAGATATCATCTTAGCTTGTTTTTTGTAAGCTGAAACGTTTGTATTTTTCTGCATATCCTTTTAAATATTTTGAATTTTTTTTCTAGTCCTAAAATGGGCAGGTAACTATACTTTTTTGGCCTTAGTTTATTTTTTTTATTACTTTTATTTTTCAATGCAGCAAAAAAAAAAAAAAAAAAAAAAAAAAAAATTTTTAAATTGCTCAAAAGATAAATATTGTATTTTAGTCAGTCTGGTTAATCATACATTGCCTTGGTAAACTGACTTGTATGGGTTTATGTTTATATTTAAGATGAAGCATGATCCCCGACTGGCGGGAGGGTCGGTACAGACAAGACAACATAATGGAAGTAACTGGCTGAGGAGATAAGTGGATGTCAGGGCAGGGCAGCCTTATCTAAGATTAGCTTACTGCCGCCTCCAGCATAGGAACCATTTCACTCCCAATGGGCAGCAAAAAAAAATATAAACATGTTGACGTAAACAAGCTGAATTATGTAATCTTTAACCTTATTGTTTCTTAAAGATCTGCAGTAGATAGGAATGAAGAATTATTGCAATGTTTAACATGCAGATAGTTCTGGGTTTAATGTTGCAATACTGTTTGCCCAAAGGCAGCAGATCCCGAGCTTCACAGATAAGGGGGCGAGGAGCATCTGTCAATGTTCAGTCCAGTTCCTGCAGAGGCTTTAAAACAGATCCTGGGTAGGAGGGACTCTCAAATATCAGATCGCTAACGACCCTCTGCAGTTACTGCTGTTAAACGGCAGCTGTGTACAAGTGATTTAGACTTGATAAACTCAATTTTGAATCCAAATTACCCCTGACGTTGGCAGCAGTTTTTCCAGTTGTTACTTTTCAGCAACTTTTATATTTTTTTAAAGGCAAACCCATAGACAGAAAAAAATTTCTAGCTGCATGTCCTTTTAGTTATAATTTCTAACATTTTCTAATCTGCACACCGGACAGAATGACAAGCAAAAGTTTGGCCGAGTCAAAAATGTTGTATATTTTGAATGAGGAATCCTGCAGCTCTTTTTTTATAAATACATATTTTGTTATGTAAAATGGGCATCCGATTAAACTACTTCAAAATGAACCAACTTCTAGCTCCAGAAAAGCTTCAAGATTTTTCTGTTCATTGTTGTGGTGCTGCAAAGATCAACCATCTAAACTGTGATGAATCACAAATTGGGAAAAACATAAAGGACTTACAGAAGTAAAGAGCTAAACATTATGTTGAGAAAATAAATAAAAAGAGAAGCTAAAATGCACTCCACAGCAGTGGAAAGAAGTGTCGCAATCACAATAAATGTAAGAGACACTAAAACTGCAGAACGACAACAATAACGAAAAACTATGACCACATTGTTGAGCAATCCACTAAGTTAACCATTTTATCTCAGTTTTAACTCTTAAAAATAAAGATTGTTGAACTCAAGACCATGCTTCCCAGTCTAAACTTACCCCAGTCTCTAAAGAATACATGAATCAAAACATGTCTGCTTAAGGGGGTGTTTATTTTTAACTTTCATGCAAGATGAAAAAAAGGCCCTAAAAAAAAGGGAGCAGCAGCAGCATTGCCCTGAAGGACTACATTTTATTGGAGGATTCTATCTCATTTAAACAACAAAAACTGCAAAGTCTTAAATAGGAAAAGGGGAAAGATGTCAGCAGCAAACCTATGGTCACTTTAACTTTGTGGGAAATTCAACAATAAATATCCATGGAATGGTTTCTGTTTCAAAACAAGAGTTTTGTTTCGCACAAAATGTTGATGAAGAAACATTTTTGATAACCCACTACACCAGGGTTCTTACAGCATAAGGCAAGTTAAATTCAAGACTTTTTAACGCCACTTGAAATAAATATTTAAGACCAAATTTACAAGAAACACAAGAAGAAATCCGCTTGCGACAACTTAACCCAAAGGTTTATTTTAACATAAACAAGTGTACAAATGTTTAAAATTTTGTAAAAGCTTCCCATACAGGAAGAAAGCTAAAAACACACAAATGACAGATATATTTTAACAATTATTTAACTGATTTCACAAACTTTGTTTTAAATGTCCTGGCCGCAACAACACTTTTATTGGTTCTTCTATCGGGACCAAACCAATATTGGCGAGCCGTTATTTAAAAAAAAAAAAAAGTCAATTTTAACATTTTATTTAGATTACAAAAATAAACCGTAATAAAAATAATCCTATTTATGATGTTTTGAAAATTAAGACCTACGAAAGACTGATTTAAGACATTTTAATACCAATTAAGGCCTTAGTTTTATTTTGAAGATTCAATGCCTTTTAAGACTTTTTAAGGACCTGTGGGAACCCTGTACACAATGGTTATTTTCCTTTAGTTTGAGTATCTCTGTATGGTCCTGAATTTGTCTGCATTATTTAGCCTTTTTTTTTTATCTGTAGGGAGATTTTACCTTTTTTTCAGCTTTAAAAATCTTCTTTCCATTAAAACCTATGTTAGGAGTATTTTTAAAACCAGGAACAAAAAAGCATGCAACACAAAAATAAAAACAAATACTCAAACATCACAAGCCTAAAAAAACACTTGTCTCTTTATTATGAAGAAAGTTAACTGTATCCTAAGAAAAACATGGAAGCCAATGGAAGGATCAGGAAAACAACAATGTGTGAGTTACAGCAAAACTTTCTTCCGTCTGTTAATCAACAGCCTTCGGAGTACCCCCTAATGGGCCATTGCCCTCACGGTCGCCTGGAGGGGATAAGCAGCACTCTGAGAGCAAAACCATTCGTCCTCCATGACGAGAAGTAACCAGTGCAGCCAGATCCGCATGGGTCAAACAGAACATGCACAGAAAGTGCAAAGCCGTTCTGCTGAAACACTTTTAGAGCTCATCTTTAACTTATACTTCCTGTCCAAATTGCTTTCTCTACAGCATGTGCAGAGCTCATGTTGGGTCAGCCCGCCCGGCCGACTGCCTCTAGGATTCCTGTCTTTCCACTCCTCTCTTTTCTCATGCTCTGACAGGTTGCATTTCTATGAATGCAAAAAATAATCCCGCCCCCCTCGCCGTCCCAAAATAAAGGGAATATGCAGAACAAAAATAATAGATTTAATTCCAAACATGTGTAATGATATCAGGCCTTAAAACACAGAATTGTTCAATTAAATCTCTCACATTGTTACTGAAACAGCAGTTGGCCCTTTTAACTTTACGCAGTATGTTTCCATTTAAGTTTGTTTTGTTTTAGCCGATCGAATCATCTTGCACATAAATACGGTTACGTTTCACCCAAAACAATACATAGTTTTGTAAAGAAGGAAAATTACCTCTACAAATGCAAGCATCTGGTTGAAATTTATACAAAACTTTGGCTTTTAAACCCATTTAGCCAGGGGCTGCTGTGTGGCTCCAAACGCAATAGGCACTAATTGAAAGCAGAAGCTAATCTTCATGTTTTACTGAAATCATAATTACAAAACCTGTAAAAACTTTTAAAATATAAAAAGCTGAATTTCAAGTTACATGTTTTTAATGATCATATTACAGAAACTTTCAAGACAAATAGCTGAAAGGAACTACAGCTAATCTGTGGTTCATCCATCCGACCTTCTTAACATTCATGTGGGAAACTGTGATGAGCAGGAGGGAAACTAAATAACAAGGACAAGAAACAAAGAGAGAGAAGTTCCTGTGGGAAAACTGGAGTTAAGGTTACAGCTGAGCAAGAACTCCCACATGACTGAGCTCTCAAGATTTAACCACCTGACTGTTATCAGAGTTACAACTGAGCTTTTGAAAAGAGGCTTTAAAAATGCTTCCCCCTCTGTTTGGAATAAAGTCCAGAAAGACTCAAAGACAATAGAGCTGCTGTCTTGAATTCAATGCAAACTTAAAACACTGGGAAAAAGACATTTTATCTGCTTCCTATTGTTTTAAATTCTTTACCCTGAACTTGGTTTCCAGAAGGGGTGTGGAACAAAAATCGATTTGGCAATATATCGTGACTTTCGGCTGCTCGATATAATGTTTATTAGTTTAATATTGATTTAAAAAAATAAAAACCTGCTTCAAAAGGAATGCTAATCCACTGGCTGCGACTCAAGATTCCTTACAGTCCACTTTTACTAATGCTTTGGAGGCGTCAGGAGGTCATTATGTTGCATACAGGTGTCAATTATGAATGCACAAACACTATATGTTATATTAATAATACCTTAAATACTTTTATTTAAGGTTCTTGTTCTAAACACATTGTTTCCATAACAATAGTATGATATTTTTTTTTGTATTTAGATCAAAGTAATTCCTCACCCGTTTCCCCTTTTGTGATCTAATCTTGAGAAGTTTATCTGCCGTCTTTTGCAGAAAATGAGGGTCCAGCACTCGGATTTTACTGACATCACCCAACCAGAATTGAGGCGGAGGCCTCCAGAAGCCTCTCCTGACCTTAAAGGCAGAAAGAGACAAAGGGGGAAAGAGAGAAGGTGTTATGAAGGTGAAAGCAATAGAGATGCATTAGCAAAGGACATCTCTCCACTTGGTAAAAGCATTTGATTTAGGCAAGCTGAGCTTGAGTGGAAGCTCTGTATCCCTCATGTCTGCATGCCACTGAATCAACGTGCAAATTAGCAGGTAATGACCCTTCAACTACTAGTGGTAAGAGCCCGGAGATGCCAGGAGCAACAGAGTGAAGGATGTTTGCAATGGAAAAAGCATTTAACTCTGAACAGCAGTGGCTTTGCCCAAGTTTACCCTACTAAGTACTTGTTCCGAATATGGATGACTGACATTAGCTAGAAAGGAAACCTAAACAGAATGTGTTTGATTGAGACAGAGGAGAAACACAGAGCTTAGATGTGAGTGTGGGAGTGTGTTCCTGCTCACACACACGCCCCTTACCCTCTTCTCATTATAGATGATCTCTTTAAGCCAGCGCAGGTCTTGCTGTTTAAAAGGCACCAGAACCATGAGTGTGTCTGGGTCATTGTGCAGTGTTGGGTTGTAGGAGGCGGACTCTGGGTAAAAGAACCTCATGGTGGTCTTGTTCCCCACATCCTCCTCATAGCCCCTTACTGGAGCATCATTTAACCTAAAGCATGGAAATAAATAAGAACCATTTAGATCAAACACTAGAATCTGAAACTTTCTCCTAAATCAGGCCTGTTTTGTGTTCTTTTTTTAATGGTTTTATTTTTACTACTGTTCTGTTTTCATAACTTAATGCCCCATTTACACTCCCCCTCTGAAATCGATCCGTGCAGAGTTTGGACCAAGCTTGGATCAGTTAACAGTGCTGAGGTTGGTTCTCACGACCATTTACGCATCCCGATATCACGGTTCCTCACCTCCTATTGGCGGTCCAAGATACTACAGCTTTCAAGGCAGGAATTAACCAAACAAAAATGGCCATGCTCATAACAGAACTTATCTGCCTGGATAGCGTCCTCCACCAAATTTAAATGAGAGCCTCGGTCGCACTGCACTCTTTTGATGCCATTTATTGTTAATAGGCTGAGAAGAAGAATGAGTCAGCTGATTGTAAATAGGAGAGGACACAGTCTGCTCATATGCTCTTCGTTATCAGAGAACGAGCCAAAACTGAACCGTGCCAAGCCCTGCTGAACTAGTACCAGTTTAGCTCAGTTCATTTGGGTCTGGCATGTTCCAGTTCAGTTGTGTTCCATTTACACTCAACAGTTATTTTTGGTTACCGCATTTAAACCATTCTTGTCATAGTTTCAAAAGGTAAGTGTAATGGGGCTTTACTCTGTACTGTACTGCTACTTTAAAGTCCAAATTAATCCAAATTAAAAAACTCTTAACACTAGAATTACCAGGATTTGAAGTTTCTCCCTCCCTCTACCAGAATTATTTGTCCCACCAACTCCCTTCTGCATACTACCGCCCCCTTCTGCTTGTAGCCACCCCTTTCTGATTGCTGCTGTCTCCCAACACAAAATCAGACTTGCATCTCCACCGCACAACTCCTTTTTCTCATGTAACTGTCACATTTACAACCTTGAGATCTAAGTTTCAACTTAAGTTCAGCTCAAGGTAGGAAATGCACGTTGATGCTGGAATAAAGGAGGCACACCAAACATTTGCACATACAGTGAAACCAGCGTATGCCTGACGTACGAAAAATCTGCCAACATTGCTGGCACACATTGGATTGTATCAGTTTTGTATAAGTTATGAGCATGCTGAAGTACGCTTAAGCATGCTGGCAAACGTTGACATGCGTCGACATGTCAGTGTATGCCATACGTGGGCCATAAGTTACAGGTAAGTTATCTGATCATTGATATACGTTGAGTGTACATTACTCATAAGACATGGTGTCCAGCTTATCCAAAACTGTGCATAACTTATGCGTAACTTATCAAGAACTTATCTCCCAGGCATATCAACGTATTGGACATTTTCAAGACGACCACTGAACGTGTTTCTAACTTACAGCTACTGCATAATGGCGTACTGGCAAAGTTTTTTTTTTTTTTTGGGGGGGGGGTAATTGCTGCTTCTCAGGGTAGCAGCTTTAACTGATGCTTCGTAATGGTCAAGGGCATTGCGCTGCCGTGCATTATGCATACGTTAGGCTGTCGTTGGACATAACTTCTGGACTCATTATGAATACGCTTTGTATTAGCCCAAAATAGAAAAAATACATAGAAACCTTAGTGTATGCCAGCATTTTAGAAGATTATGGGACGTCGGACATACGCTGTCTAAATCGGTGTGACAGGGCCCTAAATAAAACGCTGCAATCCTGCTGTTCGTTGGTAGTTCAGTATTCATATTGCTGCTCACCTGCCAATCAGAGCTGCTTGGACAGTGCAAGACATCATCATAGTAAAACTCATCCTCTCTACTTTGAAAACTCTGTCTGGATTCTAAACTCGCCCATAAATACATTCTGTAATTCAAAACCCCTGTCAAATGTGACTTTTTAACCAATTTATTCAAACCAAGTTGTATTCAGATATTTTATATACCGTATTCAGTCCATGGTAAAAAAGATAAATATAGTAAAAAGCAAAGTAGCAAAGCAACCTGTTTACACTGGATTTTTACCGTTATTGCAGTAGTAAGAAAACTAAACAGATAGGTGGGTAGATAGAAAAAATTCTCCTGATAAATGTTAAACTGTGCATAAGCTTCAAAAACACAAAAACAAAAAGGTCGGAATAAAACCCTCACAAATAAGTTATTAAATAAATAAGCAAAATACTATATCAACATATATAGTTCTTCCCTTCTGTTGGTTATTTGAAGCCGTTCAACAAAGAGAAAGAGATTTAAAAAAAAAATAAGCAATGCATCAGTATAGGCAAATCAACCCTGCAGAATGCCATTTCTCTCTACAGATCAGTTATCAGCTGATTGCGCTGATGAAAGATATAGCAAATCTGATCACGTAGTTAAATTTAATTACAAATATATTATTTATTTCGTCCTATCACGTAACACACTCATCAAAAGAAAGGTAATATTTAGCAATGAGTTTTTACCGCTAATGTAGGCATTTACATGACCAAGGGATTGAGATTTGCAGCGGATCAAAGCCTGGCCCACTGGAGCAGAATTCTCGTACAGTCTTACAAACCATCTGGGGCTGGTCTGCTGGGTGATGCATTCATGGACGAAGTTAAATGAGAAAGCTCACTTTAGCTAGGCATGGTTAACCGTGGGGAAATGTTTCCAAACTATTATTGTCGTGATTTAGTAGTTCTAGTGTTAATAAAACATAAGCTAATCTGCTGACAACTTTCTTCATAACGTTTGCATGTTTTTGCTTTGTATGCTTTTCGTAGAGTACTATGAATTTACCCAAATGTCAAAACAGAGCGAAGTTAGTTGGATTCATGGTCCAGTAGTTCTTAACTATAAGTTCAAATACATAATTTTCAGTGTTGCCCTGTAATAGATCACACTGACATCCAGCTCAGGCTATATGACTTTCATGTCCAATGGCAGTCAGAGAAAGGCACTTCAGGTCACTTTCTCATCACCCAGGGTCATCTTGTTTTGATGTATCAGTAACTTTTCAACAAAAATAGGGACGAGAATTCCTCCCGCTTTCACTTCTACTTTTAAGAAGTGGTTGGGAGACTTCAGGGTTCAGTCTTTGGTTGTTGTTACTCATGTGGTGTCAGTTGTCATCTTTAAGCTATAACCTTTATAGCAAGCTAGAGAAGTTCATGGTAAAAGTGGTCAGAATGATGTGGTCATCTAAAATCTGAAGCCAGGGTTTTAAAGGGGGAAAAAAGCTGATAGGTCTCCTGAAGCAGTGATTCCAAACATTTTAGCCTGGAACCCAAAAGGTAGAAATCAACGAAATTGGTGACGCCCCGAAAAATACATATTCACTTAGTTACTTCACTCTATATGTGAAGTAACTAAGTGGAGTATTTTAATTATTTAACAATCATTTAAAAATGTTAAATAAAATTTACTTATGTAGGTTTTTGTATTTATATAATGGAACATTTAGTGATTTATTTGTCCATTTTACAATTTAATATCATATTTAATATTTGAATTGTTTTAGATAAACAAGCACATTTTACATCTACATATTTCATGGGAAAGTCCTATTTATGTAATGAATGATATATTTAGACACTCTTTACATCACAAGAATCACATTTCAAGTGTTGAAAAAATACTCTCTTGATCAGCACTGCAGGAAGCCCCGCCCAAGAGTAAAGTTCCTGTCTGAGTGTCGAGGCAAGTTGCATTGGGAAGGAGGTTGGCTTTTCAGTTATTTGACATCAGCCTGTTTTTAGTGTACTCCTGTTTTTCTGACTATGACTGGCTGGATGTTCTCTCTTCATCCTCTGAAATGGGAGCTACCACGGAGCTTGTCTGCCTGGCTGTGTGTTTCCTGGACGGAGCCACCTTTTACAGTTGCTTTTTGTATCTCTGCTTCTGTCTCCTTGAACCCCAGTCGGCCCCGGCAGATGTCCGCTCACACTTAGCCTGGTTCTGCTGGAGGTTTCTACCTGTTAAAAGGGATTTTTTCCACTGTCACTAAATGGATGCTTAGTGTGAGGGAATGCATCCGAGTCAATAAGTCAAACAACTGGTTTTCCTCAGATAGAAAACTTTGAATCAACTTGACTGTATGATCTGGTTGAACTGTAAAGTGCCTTGAAATGACATGTGTTTTAAATTGGAGCTATAGAAATAAACTGAATTGAATTGTATTAAAAAAGCAGAATCAAAAGGTGAAGATCTTAGCTAACGGACCCATGCAACAAAATGCATAAAAATAGGAAAAACATATTTAAGCTCAAATAAGCTAAACAAAGCCTCCTGCTTCAGGAAAAACTGCTGCTTGTCTGCTGCATATTTGTTTTATAGTATTTAAGGTAAGGGGATTTAATAAGGATCCCTTCCTACTGAGTACTCTTTAAAAGTTTGTTTTTCATTGTTAATTTTTTTGCAGTGGAGTGCAGCAAACACACAACAGAAACTAAAGAAGATCCAGAAAGTCACATCATGTAGTTAAAAAAAGTATAAATCTTATTACCTGAGACCACTTTGGGACCTACTTAGGAAAAGATTGAAAGTACTTTGGGTTTTGTTCGTTTTGTTACCTCTACCAACAGATCTTAGGATTGTGAAATCAACGTGGATTGGTATATAGTAAACTGTAAAGACTAATTCACACTTTTTTTCATGTTTTCTGTGACAAAAAAATGACTCTTTTGCAAACCTCAATAGGATGTGCTACGACTAGCCAACCACAAAATATGTCTACTGCCATGACAAGCAAGATTGTAAATGCACCACAAACAGTGAAACAAGTGACAAACACATGACAAATGCATGCAAACTCACAAAAATGGCAAAGGAATGCTGCAAAGGAAAGATTCTGCAATCATGGAAAAAAATTACAGAAGTCATGATCAAAAAATCTGCAAATTCTAAATCAAGTTAAACACCTCAAATCTGCTCAACGTAATCAAACTAGGGGAGTCAACCACCAGGTCATATCAGTAAAGACGTGACTAGGTGCCAATAAGAAAGGAAATAAAGAAGAGGTAAATGAATGTCTTTTTTCAAACAGGTGATTCTAATCTTTAAAAATTTTAAAGGATATATGTGTTTTTAAGGTGGCAAATAATCTGCAATTCTAAATGACATGGTGGTCAGCTCACATCCGTTTGGTTGAGGGACTTTGCAGCTTTTATGACTAATTTCAGGAGATTTATCGTTTGCTTTTTAGTGTTGTCTGTGCTTTCATCATTGATTTTTGAAAAAAAAATTCTGTTGCAATTGGGTTTGTTTGTTTAAGCTTGCATAATCGTTGCAGTGTTTGCAGTATATTTATTTTTGCCTGACAGCCACAGTAAATGTCCTTTGTAAAACATGGTTCAAAAGCGAAAATGTCAAACTTTATAAACAGTAATGTCTTACCAACTTGACTGGGATTCCCTTTGGCAACCTTTTTTAGTTTGCACTTATTTTTATAACTGCATCTGGTGTCTGTGTTTTCCTTAAAAATAACTATATCTGTTGGAAACCTTCTTTTCTCAGGGAGATCTTAAATCAAGTCTGCACCAAAAACTGAACGCTGTGCCACAAACTTGACATTGTTTGTCTAAATGAGTGGTCTACACCTTTGAAGCTTTAATCTCAAAAGGATTTTAAAAGGGACGGCTGTTTGTGTTTTTTTTTTTTTTGTTGTTGTTTTTTTTAACGCACAACCACCCATATGACGTTAAACTCTCAGGCATGCACTTTTCCATAACTGCAGTCCACTTGGCCAGGAAACCATTAGCTGCTTAGTAAGAGCGGGCTGGTAAGTGAAAAAAAATACCATGCGGACTGGCCAAAATCTGCATGTTAAATTTGAAATTATAAAGATTGTTCATTCCAAGGCTGTAAAGTTAGATTTTTTGAGGGTTAACTAAAGCTTTTTTTCTTTATCTTGTATTTGGGCCTCCAGATTCTCAAAGAGGAGTTTGTCAGCATCAAAAACAGAAATATTTGGAAACACTCAATCATTACTCTCCTGCCAGCTCCAACTGGATCCTTCTCTAATGAGCTGCAATAAAAATTTTATTAATTTTTTTATCTTAACTTTGCTGCAATATGTTCATCTGTTAAGAGGCCATAGTTAATACGGTAATGCAAATTGTTATACCTACACCCTTAATGTAATTCTTCACAAACCCTGAACATAAAGTACTGTTATTGAACTGGAATGGCTAAATAAATCTAAAAGCTAGGGATGCAGCAAAAAAAATTCCTGGCCGAAACCGAAGACGAAAAAATTAGGCAATCCAGGCCGAAAACCAGAAAGTCCAAAATAAGTAAGTATGTCAAATATTAAAATCATAGCTATTTTTGGGTACTGTGAGTTCTTAACACTATTATAAGATCTGTATTTTTTTACACTTAAGGCAGTTCAATTAATTTTAAATTATCCAATAACAAAGCACAAAAATATGTATTTACAACTGAAATTGTTTTGTTATGCCCTTTACACTACCTCAGCAGTATCACTGGGAAACCTTTTGCCTTTTCAAACACGACTGCCACAGAAGGAGTGGGAATGTGTCAATTTATTTTTGGTCGTTGCAACCAAAAAAAACAAAAATGCACTTTTCAGTCATTTTCAGCCGAAAGATTTTGGGGGCCAAATATTTGGTGCATCCCTACCAAACAAGTTTGAGTTAATCTCAATACTGCAGCATCTTATGGCCAGAACACATTCGCACTTTCAAATTTTGAAAAACGTATTGATTCTACAATGGAATGATAAGTTTTACAAGCCCCTTTCTAGTTAGAAAAAAATACTTTTAGAAGAAGAAGAAAAAAAATGTTCTCTACTTACCTAATAACAACATCAAAGTTATTGATGATGCTTCCCAAGGACCTGTTTTTAATGACAAATCCATTGCCAATGACAACGCAGGTTCTGCACCCAAGGCTGTGGAGAAAAACATCACATTAAAACATCCCTTCTCTGGTTTTTAACTTTATGTTTTATATTTTCTTTAAAAACAAGCTATTTGCCTTTCTAAGAGAAAAATCATCCATGCACTAAAACATTGTTGTTATTTCTTGGTTACTATGAGGAATTGATTGTATTGCTAAAAACATATCACAGTTACAAACTGAACTGAACTGGACAATAATCTACATTATTGGATCTGACTGGTAAAATAAAATGACTAGATTGTATTTAATTAAATAACGAAATGAGTGACAGGATCAGGATATCAGATAAAAGTTAGAATTGGCTGCTTTGTTACTTACTTCTCAATGCTGGCTGGCACATGGTAGTTGGATGTTTTAACAAGAACTTGAAGTAACAGCAACTCTGGGAGAAAAGTAGAAGGTTTATACCATTAAAAAGTTATGAAATTCTAAACCTCAATTATGAAACGGCTTCTAAGCGTGTATGGACTTTTTTTTATTATCCAACCCTTATAATTTTACTTAAACTTCAATTACTAGACAGTTTCTGTCATAACAGCTTTAATTATTTCTCCCTTTCCTCAGATTTGTGAGGTACCTGAAGCATAGCTGCTCTCTACGGAGTTACCTTCAGTCTTCTTTAATAGTATTCTCATAGAATGAAGTCAGTTTAGCTTAATCTTTTCTTAAAAATGTCAGTGTCCATCATTGTTTTACAGGTTGAACTGTGACCCATGAGATTTTATAGGTTGATGGTTTATAGGTTTTACTTTTATTGGTTGCTTTTGCTTGTTGGTTATTATTTTACAACCTGAACCAGTTTTAAACCTCTCCATAAACTTGACCCCTTATCTTCACAGATCTCTAAAATACCCTTTTACCTGACTTAACTATTCTATTAAAGTCAAAGCTATTCTTTAGTATAATGGAAAATGACTCCTACCTTAAGCAAAAGTCAAAATACGCAAAGCTTTAGCTTATGCCCTAAAGGAATAACACTCATTTAAAATGCATACAACATTAAAGATGTGTTCAAGTTATATAATCATTTTGAGTGAGAAGATACCACGGGGCTAAAAATATTTAAGTAAAAATAGAAAAAAAATTTGCACATCTCTTGTGTTTACCCTCATCCGTTGATTGGTTTAGTGACATACAGTATGTGCACTTTGTGCATTGGGCAAGTGCTTTTTAAAACCATCCTAACACAAGCAAACCTGCACTGGTCCCCAATTAAATCTTGTCTTGCTAATGCTGCTCCATTCATGCATACTCCTTTATTCAAGGTGAATGTGTTGAATACTCTAAAACCAGCATGATAATGCCAACACTCCACTCATGATGCCGCCCGCCCATTACAAGTGAGTTCAAATTGCATTTCTTGGGTAAGATTTACTTGATAGATTTTTGGCTTTTGATCAAAAGGAAAGGGGAATGCTGGGAAAGTCGTAGGAGGGAAAAGAAGCTTAAAGTACTTTTGGTTTAAAGCAAGAGAGAGAAAATGGAAAAAAGAGAGAGCACATTCCTGGGCTGATGCTGTACCTGCAGCTAGGCAGCACTCCAAACTTAAAAAAAAAAAAGATTTTTCGCTTATTTTCATAGTACATATTTTTATTTTTAAATGATTAGAACCACTTATTTCTGAATTGTTCCAGGACACAAACTATTCTGTAATCTCTAAAATGCTCAGTTAATAAAAAGCTTTGCAGTCTTTTTAAATGTATATTATACTTTTTTTCTTTTCTTTTCATTTCTCTAATCTAAATACCTATGTAAATATCTATTAAAATTTCTATTTAACTATAATTTTAAAGAACACATGAAGATCTTCAAGAGCTAAAGAACTGTAGACTAGAGACTCACCGATCCAATACAATATTGGCTGTGATATTGATTAATTGAGTCATTTCTTTTTTTTTTTTTTTTTTAGAAATATCATACACAGCAATGGTTACAGTGATCTAGTTACTTAAACTCTATGTTTTCAAAGCTGGTTTCATCATTACATACAGCAGCTAGTGATTATTTACATCTCTGCTTATATGTCACTTTTTTATCGATCTCTATACAAGCCTGATGCCTTCACTAACATGGCAATGTATACAGTTCAACTTTCAAAAGTGGTATTGGATCAGTATCAGCTGATATACCCATCCAAGGTATTGGTATCGGGTTGGTGCATCTCTACTATTGACCAAGATTTATTCTGTCTAGGCCACAACTGAAACCAGGGATCACAATACCTTTCATTTTTTTATATGTAAACCATCTTATTATTTTTCCGCAACATATAAAAACTCCTGTTCTTGATTTCTACCTTTGACCAGTTTAATACCACCATAAAGACATAATTCACATAGCAGATTTCACATATGTAGCAGAAAAGTTGCCCTAGAGGCAAGCTTTATGTGTTAAAACACCTCAGCAGTTAAGTCCATCCAAAGCCCTTAAGGCAACATCTATCAGAGAAGTATTTAGGAGCATCATCATGGTGAAAAAGCTAAGGACCTGATGAGACAGACCCAAGAAAAGTAGGGCAGTGCAAAATCAACCTACCACTGCCTTTAATGCCATAAGGTAATGAAAGTGGAGAAAGATGCTCCCGCCAGAAGAAATCCTCCAGTTTCAGGAAAAGTTGTGTCTTTCTGCTGATGCTGCATAAAAAGTATAAAAGCAGACATTGTCAATAGAAAAACACTTTGGGTTCAGGACATTTATATTACAGTGTATGGGATATACTAAAAGGATGGTTAAGCATATAAAGAGTTTTTACTCTTTTTACCAGGAAAGAAATCCATTTATATTTAGAATTACTGTTACAAATGGTTTAAGATGTCCTGGCCGCAATGTAAAACAGCACAAAGTGCAAGGTGCAAACAAGGCATTACATACTCATATGTACAGATTTGTGCATAACATCTAAATATAAACAGTTTTGCATTTCTTAAAACAGATGCAAAAATGTTTTTATAAAGCAGATATTCAAAAAAGGTGCAAAATGATTTAACACCTTCTCTTTTATGTCTTCAAGACATGCCTGTAGTGTATGTAATGGGTTAGTGTCATCAGGATTTATTGACAGATATATCGCAGAGTATCATCTGCAGTTAATCCCATGCTGTGTAAATGTTCTACCAATTGGGAGCATATACAAAGTATACAGTATTTGCCTTAGCACTGATCCCTGTGGTATTCCAAAGGTAACCCCAGGATATAAGGAAGATGTATCATTAAGATTAGATTAGATTCAACTTTATTGTCATTACACATGTACTGTACAGGTACAAGGCAACGAAATGCAGTTTTGGTCTAACCAGAAGTGCAAAAGCAGCAAGTGCAGGATAAATAATGGTTCCATAAATACAGGAAATGGGTATTTCTACTGAATGAGTATAGAGATGAATACTATTATAAATAATGAATATAATATATAAATCACTAGTGTTATGAACTAAATTTACTGATGGATATGTACCGAATATAATATACAGATGGATATTACTATTAAAAAAAAGGTTTTTACAGTTATGTACAATAGCTTATATACAGATGGGTTTACTATAAAATGAATAAATAGAGTTTGGCCAGAAGCTATCTAAATTAAAGTGCAGTGGAAGGTAATTGCATATTACAGTTAAAGTACGTTATTGCAGATGTAAATGTAAACAATTGGTGCTGTGAATAACCAGTCGGCAGTGCAAATATAAGCAGTCGGCAGTGCAAATCAATAATCAGTCAAAGTGAGTAGTGCAAGATGCATATAAAGAGTTGTTACAATAGTAACAGCCAGGAGTGCAGGTGAACTTTACAGTCTTTTTAAAAAAACAAAACAGAATAGCAAAATGGTGGTAGGTGTCCATCAGTGAGGGTTAGAGTTTAGTAAACAGACAGCTCTAAGGAAAAAGCCGTTCTTTAGTCTGGTGCTTCTGGTCCGGAGGCACCTGAAACGCCTGCCGGAGGGTAGGAGAGAAAACGGTCTGTGGGCTGGGTGAGATGAGTCCTTAAGAATGCTGCGGGCTCCATGTAGGCAACATGAACAAACTGAAATCTGTCAGATAAATAAGATTTAAACCAGCCTAGTGCTGTTTCTTTAATTCCTACAAAATATTCAACTACTTCTAAAAATATATTATGATCAACTGTATGAACTGCAGCACTGAGATCTAACAGGACAACTACAGACAAGTCCCTTATCTGAGGCAATGAGATTATCACTAGGGAACTAGACCAGAGCTGTTTCCATGCTACAGTATGATGAGCTGAAACTCTCAAAGTTCATTATGGTGTACGTGGTCACACACTTGTTTAGCAACTACTTTCTTAAGAGTTTTAGATGAGAAAGGAAGATTTGTTATAGGTCTATAATTGACCAAGTCATCTGGGTCAAGAGAATTTTTCGTAAGTAAAGGTTTAATCACAGCTTCCTTAAAAACCTGAGGTACCTATCCCTGTAACAGGGAAAGATGAAATACATCTAAAATTGAGGTGAAAATCAAAGAGATTACTTCCTTAAATGAGTTGGTTGGAACTGGATCTAACATACAAGTTGAAATCTTCGGCGTCTAAATTCTGTGTAAAAAGGGAAGGGTTACTTCAGGTCACAGACATTAGCAATAGATTGTGGTGTCCAACACCCAGCCAATCCCGTTATGTTTTCTTAGTAACGTGACGTGACGCTTGTGGCGCACATACTGAAGGAAAACCAGCATGACAGAGCCGGTCATCCAAGCTAATGCTAACTCAACGGTGAGTTTATTACTTTAATTTTTCTGTAGTTGAGTTAGCGTTAGCTTACATGACCGGCTCCGTCATGCTGGTTTTCCTTTCCGAATTTAGGGCAGTGAAATAGAGCCAGTTGAATCTCAGGAGGCTGAAAATATTGAGTTTGAATTTTGAAAGGTTGAACTTTTTTATATGTAGATTTTTTTAACACTCAAAAATTTAACTGAAAAATAAGTATTGAAAATGTAATCACTTTGAAATAGTAAAGTGAATTTTTAACTTGAAGAGAAAATAAAAAATAAAATTTCAACTGTGTAGAAATAATGACAATTAATTTTTTTTTAGGTCAAAAATGTGTTCTGAATATATTTTAACACTGAAACAGTAAGTACAAACATACAACATTTAAATTTCAGTGGCATTTTTAATTCAAATCCCAGCGACACAGATTTACTTCCATACCATCAGACCATAGCAGTTTATGACCTGTTTTCTTTGACAGCGACTTTCTCAGACATTTATTACCCAAAGCGAGCGGTTTCTCTATGGGATATCTAGACAAATCTCGGTAGGAGGGGTTTAATAAGTGGAATACCACAGTGCTTGCCAGGAAAACCTCTTGACTATAAAACCGTATTAACAGCCCACCAAATCTGCTGAAACGGTGGGTTGTTAATCTCAATCTAATTATGTGCCTTTGCAGGGATTATTAATATGAACTGCCTCAGTTGGCAAGTTGTTGAAAATCCACAGGGCCAAAGAAATAAGCAGTAATCCTGAACAAGGTTGAGTCAAACCACATATGGTGACTATATCTCAAATTTGTAAAGCTCAGAGAAATACAAACAATGCAGCTGAATACCTTGATAAAACAGAATGAATAAAAAGGGGTTCGAGGATATCAAGTAATGCTTACTTATTAAAGAATATATTTGTCTATGTCCAATAAACTTATCAAAAAACACTCCTGGAAGAGAAGTGATTTTTTATTTCCTAGTAATTTACTCTCAAAATGACTCCAGGAATACATCTGGCTTTTTAAAAATATGAGAAAAGATTTTTTTAAATAACGCCTTCTTCTTTCTTACAGAAATTCCATAACCTGGCAGTTTAAATTCAAAAACTAACACCACAAACATTCCTTTCTTTGTGTGGAGTAGAAACATGATAACAAAGATTTGCCATTACTTACTTAAAGTTAAGGCTCTCCCACTTTTTCTGAGTTGCCCAGCTTCCACACGCAGACTTGCTGCTGTTCAAAGGCTTACTGGAATCACCATATCTGAAAAGCAGAAATACCACAATTGGCCTTTAAAAAATAACCGCTGTTTAAATTCCTAAGAAAATAATGTGCCAGTATTGCAGGGGTGCATGGGAAGAAACCTGTACTATCAGAAACTAAATTTGATCTGCACTGACAGAACCTGTATTCATGTCATTTGAAACTGAATAGATTATCTTTGAAAATGTGTTTCACTAAAGTTTAACTGGATTTAATGATTTTAATCTAAATGAATTTGTTGCAATTAAAATGATCATTTCCAATTTTTGTTGGAAAATTCTGTTTCTTTGCGTCAGACAACAGGAGCTGTAAGAGTAATCAAACACATTCACTGAATGATACTTTATCTCTTTTTATATTTATTTTATGGCATTTCATCGTCCAGCAGATGAGCAGCTTAAGCTTTGTAGATGTCATTAAAAGTGTCAAATTTTCATATAAAAGAAGTGTCACAATAAAAAAAAAGGACTTGGATTACCAGTTATCTGTAGCTATCAGATAAAGAAGCTTACTATAGTGTGCCGCCGCTGTTACGTTGTTCTGTGATTCTACATCATTCTGTTTGTCATGGTGAACAAAATGGTTCTGACATTTACGAAGCTTCAGAACAAAATATGGTCAAAATATGTTTAACCTAATGTGAAATGTTAATCCCTGATCTGAATTGATTACTCTGTGACTCAAGGATGTTTGGTTGCCTTAGCACTGGCTGGTAACCCTAACCCTAACTTGGAGATACTGAACCTTCAGACTAAAAGTTGAAGATACAACTTTGTTTTCTAAACCACAAGATCAGGGTTCCTACAGCATAAGGCAAGTTAAATGTAAGGCTTTTTAAGACTTTTTAATTCCACTTGAAATAAAAATTTAAGACCAAATTAACAAGAAAAACCCGCTTGCGACAACTTAACCCAAAGGTTTATTTTAACATAAACCACTGCACTAATGTTTCAAATTTTGAAAAGCTTCCCATACAGGAAGAAAGCTAAAAACACACAAATAACAGATATATTTTAACAATTATTTAACTGAATTCTTGAAGTTAAATCTTTTTTGCAGCCATTTTTCTTTCTATCGTTTTCTTAGTATGTTTTATTTGGTGATAAGTGGAGGCGTTGCAGAGACAAGGGTGGAACAAAACTGAGAAATGCCGGCTGTTTCTCGGAAACACAATTTTGACGCTTTGTGTTTCGTGCTTTGCACATGCGACTCCACTGCCTTAATTCCCATCGTTCCGAGCTTGAATGACTTCTTGCACAAAATACACTGTGCCTCATGTATGTTCCCTGGTACTGGTTTTAGCTTTTAGTTACATTTACACTTGCTCATATTTTCCAGACAAAAAGTTAATGGTGCAACTCCCAAATGTCCCGGCCGCAACAGCGTTTTATTAGTTCTGCTGTCGGGACGGAACCAATAATGGCAAGCCATTTTTTTTTTTTTTATAAAAAAAAATAAATTGTCAATTTTAACGTTTTATTTAGATTACAAAAATAAATCGTAATAAAAATAATCCTATTTATGATGTTTTAAAAATTACGACCTACGAAAGACTGATTTAAGACATTTTAATACCAATTAAGGCCTTAGTTTTATTTTGAATAATTCAATGCCTTTTAAGACTTTTTAAGGACCCGCGTGTAGCACTATTTAAAGTGTAAAAGGACTAGATGGAAGAAATTCAGAAGACTAGAATTCGTCTACTGGAGCCGTTGTCAGTAATCAATAAAACAACACAAAACTGCTTTCAATACCATGTATTAGACAAATTTAAAGTAAACAATACAAGACAACATACATAGAACCCAAAATAAATACAAAAAATATATATACACAGTACTGTGGTAATCCTTTTGTTTGTGCACAACTGGTCTTAAATTCCCCGCTGATCAGTCCAGAGTCTGACCGACACACATTCAGAAATCCATGGTTGGATTATCCAGATATTTAAGTTGAAGAACGTCCCAGCGCAAGTTGTTTCAGATGAAGAGGTGAATAATGGAGTGTATGCCTGAGTGGTGAGATGGAGGGGGGAAATGATACAGACCAGTCCACTGTGGAGTGATTCTTAAGGCTCTCCTGGCTCCAGCCAGTTTTCAGAAGCTCGCCATCTTTTTCCCTAAAAAGGGATCACCTGGCCTGTATTAAAATAAACAGGACCAGTAAATTTCCAGCCGGCTAGTTAACTAGACTTTTCCAGTTTCAGACAGAAATAAATGCAAAATCTAATCTATTAGACCAAATAAAGAACATTTATCTCATTATCTTACAGTTGGATTACAACAATTGATGATCACACTTAGCATTTGCTGCCACCAACATGCTAAAACAACAAACATTGTGCTCTCTACTCACCAATTCCAATAATAGATGAGAGTATGGCAGCTCCAAGGCTCCAAATTCACTGGATTTCTCGGATCTACATGATTTTTATATTGTGAGGTTAAACAGTGCATTACAAAGAGAAACTGATGGTTTGGGAACACCAACCTGTAGCTCCTTTGTCTCCAGCTCTCCCCCTCACATCTGACTAGGGAAAGCTGGAGCAAGCCTAAATAATTGCCTCAGGTGTGTCAATTGGCTGCATGCACTGTGTGACTGACTGTCACTCTAACCAATGGGGCAGTAAGGCGGGACTAAGGGCAGTTTTCACCCTGGGTTACACGCGGGAACCCTGAAGATAAAACTGAAAATATAAAAATTTTTATCAAAAACAAAATACATTTTAGGCTTGTCAAAAGTATCGATACTCAAAAAAGTATCGATACTCAAAAAAGTATCGATACTGAAATGTTGTATCCGGATACAATACTCATTTTCAAAAGTATCGAGTACCAGTCGCACCTAAACAGTCATTCATCTAAAGTGCAGAATAGAGGAAAATGCACTTTCTGAACACTGTGATTGAATAATTCTGTGCACTTTTCAGTTTCAGACTTTTTTTGTAACAGTTGCAGCTGCTGAGAATTATTTTTGTTTCTTAACCGGTTTGGCTAGTGTCATTGTTATGTGTGCAAAGAATAGCAAAGTAAGGAAAACTTAATTTAAATTTTGTAAGTTTTTTATCAAGCTTGCTAAATACTGTGCACAGCAAACAACCTCAAAATGTTGTTCTTATTGTTTATTGTATTTATTTATTTATTGTATTTTAATTATTAATCAAAATATTTCTGTTGAAATTTTATCCTTATGGTATCGAAAATGGTATCGAGTATCGAATATTTTCCTTAGTATCGGTATCGAGTTGAAAAGTTTAGTATCGTGACAACCCTAATACATTTTCATAGCAAATTTTTAAAACATTAAATTCAGTTTCAATTTATGGAAACTCATTTTCAGATTCTTTAAATTTAAAATTACTTAAATACTGAGTGTTAAAGTTTCTTCCCATGGGAGTGGACTTCTATGAAGGTTTCATTTTGCTAAAGCATCAAAACGTAGGCAGCTTTGTTAACCTGAAATGACTCCGCAATACACAGGCCTCAAGAAATGACAGTTTTACTTCAATGATGCAACATGCAGACCATATGAATTCAATGTGTGTTGAATTACCTCCAAAGTAGGGTGTACCAGCAGTAGTATATGCAAAAGAAGACCAAGGAGAGGAGAAGTAGGAAAAGGCACCATGCTGGAAATAACAGAAATAAAAACAAAAATGAAATACAAATAAAAAAATTTGCATATCTTAGTAAACATTTACTATTATAATTTTACAGCAAGTTCTCTTTGGTAAAATAAATAACTAAAAATTAAGAAAATAACCAAAAGTTATCTTATCAGATACATCAGACAGCATGAAAACATTAGATCCAAGAGCCAAGGGGCAAACAGTCATTAAACTTTAACCCCTCAAAACTCGATTTAAAGCGTTTACAAATAATAACTAAGAATGCATGACAATTACACTAGTAAAATGTTTACCACTATAGACATGACATCGTTGGAAAGGCTAGATTCTCCACAATTCAACCACTTAGTTCATTTTATGGACACAGCGAGCACCAAAGCACAATTAACACAGATATAGCAGCGTGTCAAAATGTACCATGACAAAGCAGCCACAACAAGCAAGCATGTCTTTATAACTGCTATTCAAAAAAGACCTATTATTTTTGAGAATTAAAAAAACAACTTTGAATCTTGTTTAAACGGATGCAGCTTGGACTCGATGCAGCTTGGGTGTTTTACTCACCCAAATGTCATGTATATATTCAGAAATAAGAAGGTGTTAGCTTTCAAATAATGTATCACACATGTAATTTGGGCTTACTGTTCCTAAGTTATATGCTTTTCCATTTGGGTATGCAAAACAGGCAAGAATTTCCCAAAATGAAGTGGATATTAAGAGGTTAAGTTACTACAGAATGGCTTGGATGTCCGAGTTCCAGTTTTCTTTTACCAAACAGAAAGCCACCATTGTATTAGATGAGCAGATGATATCACATCTCATTGATGGCAGACTTGTAAACTGAACTGAATGGAAATGGTATCATGATGAACTATATATGAGCATTGACTAGAATGTCATCCAAATAAATCAATAGCACATTGTATTAGGGATGGGACGATTTATGAAAACCGTCAGAATCGTTCGGTTCGACTGTCTCGGTTCGGTTCGCGTGTGTTTCGTTCGGTTCATGCTCTGCTCCTTTTTCTCATAGAGGAAGCGATTACACTCCAGAGCAGAAGGTGGCGGTACTGCGACCAAAGCCAACCGCCAGTAGTAAACAAGAAGAAGAAGAAGCGAAGCAGCTTAGCCGGGTGTAGCAGGGAAAAAAATCAGTTGTTGTGGAGAATTGTGTCGGACTGGCGAGTGGGAAAGAACAGGAGTTGGAAGAAGCGCCAGCAGCACTTTATAGGTCTGCTGTATGGGAGCGCTTTGCATTTAGAGTGACCTACGATGACAGCGGAAAGAAAGTTGTGGATAAAAGTGCAACAGTGTGCAAGCATTGTGCAACACGTTTTGTTTATGCTAACAGCAACATGTCATGCTAACCCCGAAATCCCTCATACTCCGTCAGCAACCCCTGCTCCGCCCGCTGCGCTCCAGACCGGCTGCTCAAAGCAAAGCCTACAGCCCCCGCTGTGGCTTCGTCCGCTCCCCTCTGAGTTCCTTGGAGATGGTAGAGAGCATGTAACCTGACAACAGCCAGATGCATGTGGCGGAGCGAGACATGCATCTGGCTGTTGTCAGGTTAGAGAGCATGCGCCAGATGATTAAATTCAAAGCAGCAAAACATACGGAAATGATCCAGGGTTTCCGCGGATCATTTAAAATAATTACAATCCATTATTTCTGGGGGGATTTTTTCATAAATTTCATAATTTTTTATGGAATTTCGGTGTAACAATCAACATGTATCGAATCGAACCGAAAACCGTGACCAGAAACCGTGAATCGAACCGAACCGTGGATTTTGTGAATCGTTCCACCCCTACATTGTATCATGATATATTTGGTGATTTACACCCTTAGCTATGGGCCCCAGCCTGCCTAATACCTGGAAGAGATTCTTTGTATGCTTCAACATGTCTAGCAGCATGGAGACTTTTCACCAAACCCTAGGGCTGCAACGTTTTCTCATCCTAAAGCATAACCAATGTGTCACCTTAAAACGATAAGCACCAATAGAGGAGCAGGACTTTACAGGGTGTTGAAACAGACCTTAAACCTTGATGGGACAAGCTGGCACAAGTTTTTGTAAAATATTCAAACATTCCCTGTAGCAGTCCAAGTCCCTGTCTGTCTTAAATCCTCAACTTCACAGTCAAATCAGCCATAAGCTGCCATGACAGTCCCTGTCCTGTTACTCCCATATGAACAGTTATAGTGAGTTTGGACAGTCTTTATATACAGTGACCCCTCACTACAACGCGCTTCACCTTTCATGGCCTCGCCGCTTCACGGATTTGCATTGTGATTTGCATTTGGTTATGGTGTCTCCACGCTTCTTCTCTACCTGTGTGTCAATAATGTTAGTGTTTAACATCTTAATATACATGTACATGTACGTAAAACAGTTTGCCAATTTTAAGTTTGCAAACTCTCTCCAAAATCCATAATGTCGACAAAATGTCCTGCATCGACAAAGGCACTTACGGAGAGAAGAAGATGCTTACTATCGCAGAAAAAGTGAAACTTCTGAACATGCTAAAGGAGGGTAGCAGCTATGCAGCTGTAAGCCACCATTACAGAATGAATTAATCTTCTCTTCGTTACATAAAGAAGAAGGAAAATAACATAAGGAAAACAGCAGCAATAAGTTCTGAAAAATTTATGAAACGCTTTTGACTTAAAATGTTTCTCTGCATGGAGAGACACCCTTTGCAAATACCACTGGAGCAGAAGCATTCGTGACCAATAGATTTGAGAGATCATTGAGGAAGGGTGATATAAGTATTCAAACAAGTTTTCAATAATAAGTTAAAAAAAATAAAGGTCACTACTTCACAGATGTCGCCTATCACAAGTTCTGTTTGGAACATAAAACCTGCAAACAACAAGGGTTCACTGTATAACAAGACGCCATTCTGGTGGTAAACACTCATGTGGCCCTGTCCCATCCATGCACCAAAGCTGTTAGTGAACATTAGTTAAGCTTTGAATACTGTAATTCCAGACAAGCTGGTTGAAACTCCTGTCTAGAAGAAAAGCACATGCCTCGCTCCTGATACTAGAGAGGGAGAAGAGAGTTTAACTAACATGGAGTTCGCGAAATATTGAAAAGACCCTCCCTCTCCACTTTAGAAAAAAAATGCACAAGCACAACCCTGTACCTGCTTCCCAGAGGGAACACTGGGGAGCAGGTACACTCTGTTTAAAAGTTGCTTTTTGCAGAACTTCCTCCACTATATCTTTAGGGTATTAAAAGAATTGAAGAGGATATTTCTCAGGAATGAAGCATCCAGATTCATCTACAATAAGTGATGGATGGCATTCTTGCACTTACGGTTCCCCCCCAAAAAATTTTAAATCCATAAAATCTGGTCATTGTGGTGCCTACAAACATTAGCCAATCCGTTTTCCCTTTTGTTGAGAGTGGATTTGCTGCTTGTTTGTCAATCAAACATTTTGAATACGTGTCGCCATGATGTTATCTACTTAGTCTCCATTTGTAACTTATATGCTGTTTGGCTAGCAGTCTGCCATTATACCAAAGCACGAAGAAGTACTCCTACGCTTTTTCGCTGCTGCGGCTTTTTTGAGCTACACTTTTTTGTAGGGATGCACGATATTGGGATTTTGGCCGATATCCGATATGCCGATATTTTAAAACTCATGTAGCCGATAACCGATATCGATGTTAAAGCTGGACAAAAATAAGTAGTCATTGAAAATAGCAGTTTTGTTATCCATTTCTGACACTTTGAAAAATAATATACCGTAAATTCCGGACTATAAGCCGCTACTTTTTTCCCGCTGTTTGAACACGGCCTATAATACAGTGCGGCTAATACATTATTTTTTTTTCATGGCGCGTAAAACAGACCAATAAAATTGATGGATATTCAGAGAGGTCAAATGAAATTGTGCGATACATAATTCTCACTTTCACTGTTATTTGCAGTCTTGTAAATCAGTCATTCATACTGACCCTCAACATGGATACTCGAAGAAAAGCATACAATGCCGCTTTTAAATTAAAGGCAATAAATCTGGCGATTGAAAACGGAAATCGAGCTGCTGCACGTCATTTTGGGATAAATGAGTCGATGGTGAGACGGTAGAGACAACAGCGTGAGGAACTGACTCGGTGCAAAAAGACCACGAAAGCTTTCAGAGGTAATCACAGCAGGTGGCCGGAGCTTGAAAACTGTCTTGAAGACTGGGTGAACACACAGCGAGCGGGATGCCGCAGTGTGTCCACCGTGCAGATCAGGCTGAAGGCTAAAGAAATAGCCACCGACATGAAAATTCAAGATTTCAGAGGTGGGCCATCGTGGTGTTTCAGATTTATGAAACGAAAAGGCCTGGTGGTCCGGGCGCGCACGATGTTGTGTCAGCAGCTCCCTCCCGACTATGAGGAAAAACTCGCTCTCTTCCGTACTTTCACCCAAACAAAGTTAGCGGAGCATTCCATCGGGCCAAATGAAATTATAAACATGGATGAAGTACCTTTGATTTATGACATGCCTCTCATGCGGACTGTAAATAAAAAAGGTGACCCGTCCATCTCAGTAAAAACCACGGGTCACGAGAGGACGCACTTCACCTGTGTTCTGAGCTGCACAGCATCCGGACTAAAGCTTCCACCCATGGTGACAAGCGGCTGACAATGCCAAAGGAAAAAATCCCAAAAGAAATCGTGGTGAAAGTTAATAAGAAAGGCTGGATGGAAGAAAGCCTAATGAAGGAATGGCTTACGGAGTGCTATGGCAAGCGTCCGGGGGGATTTTTTCATCAAAAAAAAGCACTGCTCGTGATGGACAGCATGAGGGCCCATATTACAGATTCTATAAAAGCTGCCATCAAGAGGACAAACTCAATTGCAGCTGTGATTCCTGGGGGCACCACCAAGTATTTGCAACCACTGGACATCAGTGTGAACCGTGCATTTAAAGTGGCACTGCGCAGTGAATGGGAGACGTGGATGACCAGTGGCGAGAAATCCTTCACCAAAACTGGTCGCATGCGAAGGGCATCTTTCAACGATGTCTGCCAGTGGGTTCTCAATGCGTGGAGCCATGTAAAAACATCCAGCATCACCAGCGGGTTTCGGAAGGCTGGGCTGCTGCGGGATGAAGAGGACCGCGAGTGCTCAAGTGAGAGCGACAAGGATGAGACTGAAGTCAGTGACAGCATCCTGAAGCTGTTCCATTCAGACACCGAGGAAGAGGACTTTGAGGGTTTTAGTGCGCAGGAGGAAGAAGAAAATGATTAAGGACTTTTCCTGGTCGGCTGCAATGTTCTGTTCAATGCGTTGTTCAATTAAAAGTCCCGGCACATGCAGCGTTATTTGCATGTTACCGACACATGTGTTTTAAAATGTGTTACAGGTAGTTTGAAAAAAAAAAAAAACGTTCATAATATGTACCGTATTTGTTTTTTTATCATATGGATTAAATCAAACGTTCAAAAATGCTCACGTGTAATATCTTTTTTTGTAAATATCTCATACAATGTGGGAAACCTGCGGCTTAAAATCCGGTGCGGCTTATAAAAGTACAAAATTGATTTTCTTTCTAAAATTAGAGCATGCGGCTTGTAATCAGGTGCGCTTTATAGTCCGGAATTTACGGTACTCAAATATATTTTCATATGCTGATATCAAATTGATTTTTAAAAACGCGGTATCGATCTATTTTACTTTCAAAATCTCGTGAAATTTCATCATTCTGTTACAAACTCTCGTGATATTTTGCAAATTCTTGTGAGATTTTGTTAGTAAAATAGATCGATACGGTGTCAATATATCAACATATAAAAATATGGCAACATTTCGTGATTTTTTGGGGGATTTCGTAGCATAACGACGACATATAGCAATATTTCATTAGTAAAAGAGATTGATATGGTGTTTTTAAATGGCAATATATCAGCATATGAAGATATTGTGATATTTTAATGTATCAATATTTTTCCCTCCTCTTTAGAAGTTTTTAAGTCTGTAAAAAAGAAGTTTTTGAGGAAGAAGAAGAAGTAGTATTTTTTAGACTTTAGAAACTCAGAAACTGATCAAATATCGGGTCAAATATCGGTGGGGTGGCCGATGTCCGATATTCAGTTTTAAGGCCGATACAGGCCGATACCGATAGGGGGCCGATTATATCGTGCATCCCTACTTTTTTGTGTAAACTGGAGCATAAATGGTGGAAAAGAATCTTGACAAGACTAACTGGAAAAGATGGTGAGCATTAGCTATAAGGAATTAACTTTTTAGATGGTAAAAAACGGACTTTATGTGGCGATTTTCTCAACATCGAATGTTTTTATTACGAATATGCTGGAATCTTTTTATCTGTAGACCCTTACAGACAAATGGAATATAAAAAATCTAAAATTAAATTTATAATACAGCCTCAGAATTGCCTCAAATGAAGGAAGTCGGAGGTTTAGTTTAGAAATTCTGATTTAACATGCTACTATATCTTTATAAATTGTGCTTTTGTGTTCATGGCGTCCATTAGATGAACTTTGCAGTTGAATTGTTGAGAATCTTTCTAAGGATGTATAACATGTCTATATAGGTAAAAGTTTAAACAGTGTTGTTTTCAAGCATAATGCTGTAAATACAAAAAAAGGAGGCGCTGGTGTTATGGCAGGGAGGTATTTCTCAGCATTTATCTGTCCACCAGACACCAAAGCTCTAAATTTTAGCACATCCGTGCATACGAAAACATGATAATGAAAACATTAAGAATATGTTTAAAAGTTCCTATTTTGTTCATATTTCTATCCATTTTCTCATCAGTGTGCGAGAGGGGAGGTAATTCTCGGTAGGCAGGTATTTCTCTGCATAACACTGGCGGAGACTTTTCCAGCTTAGAGAACTTTTGTGGAGGAGGGGCCACTGACGCATGCACACAATTCAAAAATACACAAACAGCCATCAGCAGTGTTGTGCTAGTTACTGAAAAGCAGTAACTAGTTTCTGTTACTAGTTACTTCATTTCAAAAGTAACTTAGTTACTAACTCAGTACTTACACCATAAGGTAATGCGTTACTGTGAAAAGTAACTATTTAGTTACTTTTTTTTTTTAAGGTTCACATTATGCCCTTATAGCCTTCATTTCAGAAATGTTATTGCACTGGAGAATAATACCATCTGTTGAAGAACTTGACATGCATTTGCATCATGAAACTCTGCTAAGCAATTCTATATACAAGCAACAAAGATATGTTTCAAAGTGCCAATTTATTTCAGGGCAGAACAAACTGACAATGCTACATAGTAGGTAGTTGGTAGGTGGCCTGCTATAATTTGTTCCTCCCTTATAACTTTAAGAAATAAAGGTCCATCACCTCCAAAGTTTCAGGAATAAATTGTCATCATAAAAGATGCTTATAAGCCAAAAATGAAAAGGCTGGGACCTTTTTTGTCTGATTTAGACAGAGGGAACAGATTACAGCAGGTTTTATTTCATCCCATATTGCCAGAATTGGCAATATGGGATGAAATAAATAGCCTGATGTTAGAACACAAACTGTTTATTAAGGATAGTACAACAGTGATAAATTGTAAGCTAATATAAAACACAAATATAGATTTAAGTACTAAATTTCAACCAGAAAAAAATAATTTCCTTCTGCATATAGTCTTTGATTACACATGCACTCCATTTTCTATTTCATTTTTATTACAAGTATATGGTTTACAACAGTTTTCAATGGGATGAGAACATTTGGACACTGTGAAACAATGAGAGATTTTTTTAATGAACGTGTGGAAAAGAACAAGGATCTGTTTGCTTTCAGAGGAAGGAGTAGACACTGTTGTCAGCGACCAGCTTTCAAGCAAACGTTTGTGTTTTATTATGAGTTTTAGATCAATATCACTGGCGATATTCTGCTATAACATGTGAAGTAAAGAATAAAACAGTAAAGCTCAACTTTCATACACGTAAAACCTTTCAAATTTCAAGTTCTGCACGTTGGAATTGAGGCGGAGTTAAGTCGGGTTGTTCGTCCTACTCCGTGCGTGCTTCCGACGAGGGGATACAAATTTTCCCAGGGATAACTACCTTGGCACGACACCGGTAGCTTCTAGCTTCGTCGCAGCATGTTGCTTTTGTAGGTGTTTCGACAGATTACAGTTGCTGTTCTGGGCTGTAGATAGAATCTTTGATCCAAGGCACAAATTGTAAATTAATGAGAATATCTCCAAGTGAAGAAACTCGACTTGGGCTCTGCAGCAGCCACCATGATGACTAGTGTTGGTAAACACAAACACGCCCTCAGCATGTTTCCTTCCTGTCTCCCTCACTCTAACACATGCAGGAAGACAATACTTCACTGCAGCTTTTAAGTCTCTAGCTGATCCCGAGACTATAAAATAACGCAGTAACGCATCATGTAGTAATGTTAACGGAGTTACTGAATTTAAAAACTAACGCATTAGAGTACTAGTTAGTGAAAAAAATACCGCCGTTACAGTATTGTAACGTGTTAGTCCCGACACTGGCCGTCAGACATATCTTCCACCACAGAAACCTCTTTCATGCCTTTAATGACATCCAGGCAAACTTTTAAAATCTACAATATTGACCTAAAAATCCTTGAAACCAACTCAATAAAATGCAATATGACTCTATTTGTGTAATTTAAACTGAAGGAACATCGGATATGATGTTTTTTTTTGTAACTTTGGGCTTTTAACATTTAAACTATAACTATGAAACGGAATCACATAGTATACGTTTATAGAATGCTAATCCACCTGAATAAAATGATGGAAACAGCTCCAATCAGTTGTTATCCTTCTCTTCTATTTAGGTCCTATAAATGCACAATACTTTGTGCACAAAGGAGCAGAACAAAGCAGAGCAGGACAAAGTAGTTGGCAGACTTATTTTTAGCTTTCTTTATGGAGCCACTGATGTCATTCAGTAAGTTATAGGTCTGCTGTAATAGATTATCCTGAGGTGTGTTGATTGCCATGATAATTTTAAGATGCTTTTGGCCTCTCACCCCGCCAGGCAGGAAGGAACTCAGTAGTTCCTCCAGATGGGTCTCATTTCACACAAATTGGGATGACAGGCGTGCGGTAACCTACCAAATCTACCGACGGATTTATACATCCAGTTTTATTTTTTTTCTACAGCAAGGTTTGAGAACTCTCTCAACTTTTAGTGTTAAAGCTGCACGCTCTTTTGTGCAGGAGGCACCTGGTAAGAAATGCTCAGAGGCTCATCTTCCTCAGGAAACTGATAAGGGAACTGCCTACTTTCTAGAAAAACAACGTTGAAGAACATCCGGTATCTTAGCTTTGCAGCATGGAACAGGAAGTACTTAAGTTGTGCTAAAAAGAAAATTTCCTTTTTTAGAAAGAAAACTTTTACCAATTTGACTATGATGTGACTGAATTGTCTCCGTAAGCAGCTTTGAGATGACATGTGTTGTGAATTGGCACCATATAAACTGAATTGATTTAGTACTAAATCTATCTAATGGATTGACTTACACTATCTGCACATAAATACTTAAAACATCACATGATCCATTGGCTACAATTTTGGCAAAAAGATCCAACCACTACTCCTCCATATTGTTGGACATGGACTAACTTGCAACATTTTTAAAAGGCCATGTATAATATTCATTTTCATGAATGATTGTTAGAATTTTGTTATGTAAACTTAAGCAAAGATAACAAAATGCAAAGATATTCTGTCATCCAGGCAACCGAAAACAGGACACTGCTAAACCAGTTTAAAGTGTATAAAGATTAATATAAAGACACCTAAATTTGATGAATTACAAATAAAAAAAAAGTCTGCTTTAATGAAAAAAAAATCCTACTTTTAGCAGCAGTCTGGGGCATCTTCACATCCTCCTTAGTCCACACATGTCTCCATAGTGTATGATGTTATTCTGAATGAGACAGACAAAAAACAACCATAGCAAAAGCATGAGGAGAAAAAAAAAGTCCTTCGGGGCATTAATTATCCAATACAGCCACAGAAAACAAGTCGCAGTATAAGCTTTTACAGTTGAGATAAGGAAAGAAAACAAATATAAATAATAGAAGTTGCTTGATAGAGACATATATTTCTACAATAAATTTATAATTGCAGAGTGAATAAAGTGAATAAGTGTAGATGCATGGATAATTCATTGCAGGTTTGAATTTGTTTAAAAGGCAACAATTAGCCATAAATTCATTTGACAAGCCTTGTTGTTTAAGAGTGAAAAATGTTATTTGGATTTGGAATATCTACATCAAAACCAACAAAATACAAAAATTTTAATTCACATTACCGTCGGGTAAAAAGTAAAAAGGGTTTGAAATGACAGATTGTTCCGAGCTTGTTCCGAGCCATCAATAGCTTAGCTTTCTAATTCTCCAAATATGTAAGAATTGTTGTTTGCTGCACACAGAATCATTACTCCTACACCATACAAACTAAGACTGAAAAAAAAAAAACTATTGCTGCATGAGAATCAGCAAATCCTTTACACTTTGAACTGATTGATAAAGGTAATCAGCAAGACCTATCTATCTTAACCTAAAGAACATCTGACACATCTGACCCTTGAAAAGTGTTGTGTCACAAATCCTCATTGCTGCAAATCATTTGCACTGTTCAATGTCTATTTTGGGATAGGTGAGTGTGTGCTTTCTATGTTGCAATAGGAGTCACATAATAGCTGTGTAAATCCTGCACAGAACCATACTCATTCACCATTGGAGAGTGGAAAATAATGAAAACCACATGAAAAATTCAAACAACAATAGTGGCAGACTGTAGAACCTTTATAAACCTTTCTGTCAGTATATGATTCTAGAGCTTCTAAATAAAGGTGAGGATTTTTAATGTTACTCTGTGTGTGTTATCATCATGAGCAGGATATAAGGCTATGCTTAGTTTTGTTTTTATATTTAAAAAACTAGTAATACAAAAAATTATACAAAAACTTTTTATTGTTAAGAAAGATTTTGGGAACAGCTAATTATTCTATATATTGGTAACAAATCAGTCAAATATTTATAGGTTATGCAACATACATATTAACTTGAACTATTAGACTTTTTTGTTTTGTAACACACTATGCATATATGTGCTGCTATTTTAACAAAATTGAAACTAACTTACCTTTTCCCTGTTGCATCTTAAAAGGCTGTGTCCCTGATGCTTGCATGAGATGAGCTGAACCTTCTTCCTGCAGAAACGATGTAATAAATCAGACATCTGAAGCATTATAACATGTCTCTGCACTTAAAAGTAACTACTGTGATCAACAACTACAAAACAGGCTTACACCATAGGCAACAGCACTTCTGTCAGTTTTTCTAAAAACTTTACAACAACTAACAAGGAGCCAAAGTGCGATTGTCTTTGATTAAAGTCTGTTTACTGGCCACAATGATCTAGATGAACGAGAATTTGTACAGGCTTAATTGTGGTTAAGAATAAAAAAATTAAGTACAATACGGCAAAAATAACTTCAGTTTTCTTCATTACAGCAAAACCAAGAAGGACAAGAAAGTTTCTGGAGGATCGAAGACTATGCTACGTTTAGACCAACTTCTGGGGAAACAGCAGAAGCAGTTGGTGGATGTGCATCAAGGGGCATCAAAAGGTCCTGCAGCGTGTTTTGAGCAGCAGAAGCAGCACATCTTGATGCATCTGAGAAGCTTTAGCAACACCTCATGACCTTCTGAGCTGCACAAGCAGCAGCTGCTGGAGTTGGAAAAATTTAACTTTTGCTGCTTGACTCACCACCTCAACCAATCAGAGAAGCTGATCTGGGAGCTGGCAGGGAGACAGACACAGCACTGCTGATGCAGATTGCTATGATCACTCCCCTGAAACAGTTTATCAATGCTTAAATTCACTTAAAATTTCGAAACCTGACGGCAAAACATGTTTGCATTTATTATTCTGATGCGTGTAGTTTGGATTACGTACATTAAAAACACCTTCCAGCCTCCACGAACAGTAGCGGAAAACCCCCAAGAAGCCAGAGGCTGCTGTTGAAGGGGATTTCCAGTGACAGAGCACCCCCGGTGTACGGGGTGGTCTGACAGCAAAATAATATTTGAAGGCAGGATTGTAATGCTGATGAACTGACTGCACAGATTAAGTTTTCCAGTGGACTTTCTCCCTTAAAAACATATAAAAACTAATTTTTAACCAACTTAGAACAGCTAATATAGAAAAGCTGCTTTCTGCCACTGAACACAGGATCAGCACACTTTACAGGACGCACTTCAGGAGCGTTAAAGATGCACTTGAAGCGTGCCAGACCTCAGTGTGTACAAGCATCAAAAATAAAGCAACAGAAGCTTTTTTGCTGAACTTTATGGAGGACCAACTCTGCCATATTTAAAAATAAATACAGAAATAAATAAATGCTCAATAAATAAATAAGCATACAATTAATTGCCACCAAAAATATAATAAACAAATAAATGTAGGTAGAAATTAAATTATACAGTGAGACATATATGTATATAACTCTTTTAATTAGCTTCTTTATTTATTTGCCTTTTTAATATTTACCTCATTTATTTTTTCTCCTTTATATTCTTAAAATTTATTTTTTAATTACTTATATTTTTAAGTATTTATTTATGTGCATGTTATAATATTTTTGTCTGTTTTATTCTTCCTTTGTATTTTTTTACCCTAGTTATTTCTTCGCAGCTATGTATAGAACGTAGCCTTACAATACAATAAATCACACAATAAATAATACATTTTCTCTCAAGAGAACTCAGTCCACACAGATGTCTCTCCTTGGCTCATATCTTTCTCATACCTCATCCAAAATAGTTAGGTTATCCTGAGCTATTTTCTATATTTATGCTGCTATATGTTTAAATTGCTTGAGGACATAGGGTCCACTTTTCCTCATTCTGTTTTATTCAATCTCTATTCTCCTATTCTGCAGTATTTTTTACTTGAAACCATAACTTTATGTTCTGTTTTTATTGTCATAGTAGCTTCCTCTATTCTGTTCCTGTTTGGCTGTGTCTCAATCCTAGATTAAAGTATCAATTGGCCTGCTGCCATCAACACCATCTTTAAAAGGAGTTGAATTTTAGCCTATTTTTTACTTCTGTAGTAGTCCCTTTTCCTTTGGCTAACTGTTTGTGCTTTCTTTCATCCTTTGACATGTGAACTGGCTTGGAGCTCATCTGCCTGACTGTGTTTCCTAGACTGGGCCATCTTTGAAGCTAATTAACAGTTAGCTTTTATAAATATTATTTTTCTATTTTTGCTTCTGTCTCCTGGAATCCCAGTCAGCCTTAGCAAAAGGCTGCTCACATTAAGCCTGGTTTTGCTGGAGGTTTCTTCCTGTTAAAGGGGAGCTTTCCTCTCCAGTGTCACTACATGCATGCTTGGTATGAGGTATTACTGTCGAATCAAGGACAAAATACAATCTGAAATCTTTGCCACAAGCTCATCCGGGAGGACCACGTCTTGCAACATATTGACTTGATGCAATAAACTAGTTTCCTTGACAGAAACTTTTAATTAATCTGAGTGAATCGTCTGTAAAGTGCCTTGCGAGGATGTGTTTTTTGAATTGGTGCTGTATATATAAACTGAATTAATTAACTGAATGATTGAAATGTATGGAGAGCAAGTACAGAGGTTAATCAGAAAATTTAGCAAACTAAATTTATTTTATTTTTAAATGACAAAGTTATATTCATCCTTCTTAAATGTAATCGGTAAAATGTATTCGTTTATTACTCGGGAAAATTTTAGATTTATTTAATTTTACTCCTGTCAGTTTTTGTCCTCCTTTGGAAAAATATATAATTTGTAGACCAGACAATACTAGCAGCATAACAGTTTTATCATATATGGAAATCTGTACCTTTTAATATGACTTACAATTATTTAATTTATGTCTAATGTACTACTGTTTGTTCATTTTACCTGTAAATTAGCTAATATCTATAATAAAATGTATCACTGCGGAACAAATAAAGAACGATTCAATTCTAAAAGGGATAGGGTATATAACAAATATCTTTGCTCCAGTTTAACTAAGGAACTCGTCTATGAAAATGGACAGCACCCCAGGACAATTTCTGTCTTTCTGGTCATTTTGCATAATAATTGTTTTAGTGATTAATTGCAGTGTCGGGGTTGTGAGCTTCAGTCTGGCTCCACCATAACCTCTGTTTTGAATCACTTGCTGGGGAATGGACTGGTTGTTGTTTTTTTCTTTTCTCTGTTTACCATCTGGCTGAACTGTCAGCTGATTAACATGTTCCTGTGCTGAATTACACCCCAGCATAATGGAGCACAGCATGGTTCAGAACTGCACTCCTGGGAAAGTAATCTGAAAAGCTGAGCTCACACAGAACCCAGTCATTGGGCTGTCTGTGTACATCAAGCTAATAACAGCTCATGTTGTCTGGAATGTTTACTACTTGTTACACTGTTACGGAAACTGTAGCTTCACTAACCTTTTTATACAGAATTTTTTACTTTGCTCAGAAACAACAGTGTTATAGAATTAGTTTACCATGCAGCACAGCTCAGCATTTCATTTCATCTTGTCCGTCTGTCTTTTAAGAGAAGTCAATACAAACAACGCTTCTGTTTTTCTATTGTCCATAAAGAGGTTTTCTTGTTCTTTTCTGGCTTTACTGTTTGCAGACTTTACACATTAGGCTTTATGGCCTGGTGAAGCTGCTAAGAGTGGAGAGGCTGAGTCTTTATAACGCCATAGTTTGGCCAAATATGAATAGATCAGTTTATATCAGTTTTGAAGCAAGTAAGTGTCTTTGAATAATTAATTCTTTCACAATCTATTATATTGAAGCATTGATTATTTTAATGACACTACTAAATCCAACTAAAAGAGTCATGAGCAGAACAAAGAAGGCTCTTTGCTGAACCGGTCAAGGTTGCACTTTGAGACAGAAAATAGATCGACTTTGAATCTTAGTGCAGGAGCCTTTATGTTGAAAGAATTGATCGTTTGTGTTTAAATATCAATAGGGGACCCAAAGAAATGCTATGGGGTGCTGTTCAAATCACAGTACTAACTAATGAGTCAACAAGTGTAAGGCACAAGTCAGCATTAGTTGTGTTTCTGAAGGCCAGTGTTGATCGAGAGATGGAGCCCCATGCTTTTACATTAGATATCTGATCCTCTTAGCTTTCAACCATAAGGCCAGAATCTTCTGAATGTTCCCAATAGTAGCCTGAAAACTAAGGGGCTCAAATCTGTGCAACAGCCTACTGTCAAATTTCCATGTGCTGGCTGGTGATATTTAATCCAGTTGAAAACTTACTGTTGTTGGGTTTTTTTTGTCATGATTTTACTGTGCTTCCTGTTTTATCTCATTATGATTCACTGTGCTACTATGTATTGTATTTTATAATCTCATCCTGATTTTATTGTTCCGTCTATGTTTTATCTTATCAAGATGTATTTGTACAGGATTTTGTGGCTTTGTGTCTGTGAAAGGTGATTTATGAAGAAATTTTACTTATTTGCATACTAAATTTGTGTTTACAGGAAACACAAATTTATACAAATACTTTTTCTAAATGAACACTCCACACTTGTCTTCAAAGACAGACAAAATATTCAAAGGAAAAAAGGTATATTTGTTCATATTAAAATTATTCGTACGCATATTTATCACTATCCTTTATTAATACATTAACTACATTTGAATACTAATAACAGCCTATTATTTATGCCTCTCCAAAGTACAATCAATTTACTTTTAATCATCCCAAGGTCTTCAGCCTAAAGTACTCTAGGTAATGGTTTGTCAACAACAGAGAAATATTTAGACCAGTCAAAGCCAACTTTTACTAAAGAAATATTTCAATAATTCCTCTGTGTCTAAGTCAAGACAGCAATGTTAATAGCTCACTTTTCTAAACAAACATTCACTGTATTTAAATATTGCAGAAAAGCACCCACAAAATAGCGTAATAGAAGTAATGTCAAAGGCAAAGTAAATGATATTTGCTAATTAGTAACTGTTAAAACCCATATCTTCCCTTATTACTCAGAAGGAATCAGTCTGGGAAAGTCTTATTATGTAATTATTCCGCATTATGAAGAAGAACAACATGTTAATATTGAAGCTTGTAAGCAAAGAAAAACACAGATTTAAAATTAATTCAATGTTTAACTTCAATTTTAGTGCTTATTTTTCATATATATTTTTTGAA